TGGGGGCGGGTGGTGCAAGGCTGGGAGAGGGGTGCTTTCCAAAGCGTCCTGTCAGGCACAGTGGGGAGAACGAAGAAGAGTTTTCCTTAAGAAACCTTTGATGTCACATAAAACTCAGAAAAAGAGGGCCACCTGGGTTGTGCATGGATCAGATTTTTGTTGTTTTTCTGTTAAGACCAGCCAAATAGGGATGTCACAGTGGATCTGGGGAATGTAACAAAAGATGAACCACTGTGTTGTGGTCCATAAGCCTGACATGGAGTCTTCATACTATGGTGTGTCCTGTGCCAGGTTATGGCCTGATTCTATGGACCAGCTGTTGTTAAAGAAATAAGGATGCTCAAGGGAACATCAATGAATTACGTGCAACTCACAGATTCCCAGATGCATGCTATTCACATTGAAAACCAGTAGAAGACAGAACTCTGGCTCCAGTGCATGTCCCTCTGCTGGTCGCCATAGCAAAGTCCTGGGTGTCTCCCTGTAAACAGTGTGGTTCCCACACTCCAGACCTTGAGTGACCCCATCACCAAGTGACCTGTCTCTTCTCCACAGTCTTCCTTTAAGCACACCATCTCTGGCTGGATTTTCTTTCTGGAGCTTATGCCTGTCCTATCTGACATGTGGTCTACACCACCTTGTATTTTTAGACACCTTTCTCAGTTGCTCTTGGCTAGCCTAGTTAGATAATAAATCCCTGAAGAGCAGCAGCAAATCTAATTTTTCTCTTGTGTCCCTATCAGGAAGATGTAGCAGGGACGGCTGGTTTCCCATTTGACATCTGAGCCTTTCTTGCCTTCATTCAGAGCCCACTGATTTTCTTCCAAACCCTCCCCATGTTTGAGGCAAAGGCATGGGGGGATCTCATTTGCTTTAACTTGGCCCTATCCAGAGCACAGTGCATGTGGAAACTGCTTCTTCTGTGACTTTCCTAGGTTAGGTGGTGAAAGGAGAAGGGAATAACTTTATTAATTTTTTACTTTGTGCCCAGGATCCAGAATACAATGCCCTTGTACATCTATCTGGGGCAGGGACTTATTCAAAGGATTTAAAAAAAAAAATGAACATATTGTATTTTACAATTGTACTTAGAAAATTTGATGGGATTTTTTTGGCACTCTTGGATTGAAATATGCCTGTCCTGAATCTAGGGCCAGAGTTCAAATGTCCTCTCCTTTGATAAGGCATACCCTCCAAAGAGAAGGAGAAAGGGAACACCATCACAAAGTAGAGATTTTAGCTGTGGTCTCTGGTTTTGCTAGTTTAGTTGAGGAAATCTCTTATTGTGAGTTCCAGTTTTGAAGTATATATACTGCATTTATTATTTAGACAGGGTCTCCTGTAGGCCAGGCTGGCCTTGCCCTGCATATGTAGCCAAGGACAGCTTAGAACTTGTGATCTTCCTGTTTCTGTCTCTGCCTCTGCCTCCATCTCCACCTTCAGAGTGCCAGAGTTACAGGCCTGTGCCACCATGTCCAGTTCATGCGATGGTGGGGATCCAACTTAGGGCATCTCTAGGCAAGCACTCTACTAACCGAGCTGCATCTGCAGGCATCACATTGCACTTTAATCCAGCGGTGCATCATGAATTGAATGAAGGACACCGTGATGTGTTTCTAAATATACTTTTATTAGCAGTGAATGATGGAGAAAGGAAGAAGCAAAGAAAACAAAAGGAAGAAAAACACAACTGATATTGGTCCAGGGAGATGGACCAGTCAGTAGAAGCACTTGCTGCCAAACCTGAGGATCTGAGTTCAACCCCCAGGCTCCTCCCCACAAAGTAGAGGGAGAGAACCAGCTCCCTGGAGAAGTCCTCAGACATCCCCACAGGCACCCCTCCACAAATAAATAAACAAACGTAAAAAAGAGGAAGAGATAGTATTTAAAAATTATGAGCACTTACTTTTGTTTCCTTTAGCTTACGCATTTATTTAACCCTTAAGGGATGCAAACTGCCAGTAGTTAGGCATCCACCAGAGAAAATTGAGCTGTTTGTCATCTCACCAGAAAAATCCTTAGGGGTATGCAGACAGCAGAAAACCCAGGGAAGTATATTTTAATTGAACATGAAAATTCATTCAATAATAGAATTTAATCTTTGATGTCAGCTGGGGGGTGTTTAAAGGACCAGTTCTCATTGTTTAAAAATATAATCCGAGGAAACCAAAGGCCACATCTTCCTGTTCAATTTCCTGCTGGATTTGCCCTAACAAAGATCATTTCCTACGCTTTCATTGGTAGAGTTTATTTTCAGTCTTCAGGATCAATGACCTCAGATTGGGGGGCGGGGTATTTCAACTTTCTTCATTTTAGAGATCCTAAAGTTAAACTTACTATCTTTTAAGATTTATGGTGATGGGGAGGGAGACTCTTTTCCTGATGGAGGCTTTGGAAACTGATGATTCATTTCACAAGAAAACCTCCAGAGAGGAGAGAATGTGAGCAGAAAAGTCAGATAACCGACCTTCAGGGTTGAATCAGTTTTCTCTCCCTAGAATTATTTTATTTACTTTGGAGGCAGGGTCTCCTTATGTTGCCCAAGGTGAACTCAAACTCCAGATCCTCCTGCATGGCCCTCTCCAGTGCGGGGATTGCAGGCCTGCTGACTTTTGCAGAACCTGGTGGCCATAACACTCAATGAACGCACCAAATAAATTTAGCTCTGTGCCTTACATAAAATACAACTGGGCATTAGGGGGTATGCTGAATGGAGAGGCCCCCAACTGCGACAGGATAGTAGCCAGGAAACGTGCTCGCCCCTGAACAGTCAGCTCCTGGATCCAAGCCCGGCAATCAAGGGTGCTTAAACCCATAGGAGGGAGGGGCTCGCAGCCAAAGGCATGTTCTGGCGCCTCCAGGACCCTCTTCTTCCCGGATCTTAGGGAGTTCAATTCTTCTCAACCTTTCGTCACACCTGTTTCTTTAATGAAGGGGGGACCCGGGCCTACATCTCCCGGCCTTGGGGCTTTAAAGAGCATCTCAGCATCCAAGGTTGTGGCGCAGAGTCACCTGCCTTGGCAGGGCTCCTATACTCCAAACTCATCCACAGTCCTTTTTCTCTCCTCTCCAGGCTGCTTCTGATTGGCCACAGCCGAACGTTTTGTCTCCTAGAAGGTTCTCAACCGGGCATCTCCTCCAGGGCAGTTCAGTCGCAAAGCAGTTCAGACTGCATCGATCCGGTCGCCGCTTTCCTGCTCAACTGCCGAGCAGGGGAAGGGACCCAGCACCAGGTCTCCCGGTGGCAGCGGTCAAGCCCAGGCTCCTCACCAGGCCCTGACCCCCTGCAGCGTGGGGGGCAGATGGCCCTGCAGGGTGGCACTCGGTCCTCCGGGGCTGAAGCCAGAGCTGGCCAGCGGCGCGAGTGGCGCGGGACCGGCGCCGGTGTAGCCGCCCGCGTAGCCGGAGCCGTAGGCAGTGCCCGCGTAACCGCCGTAGCAGGAATAGGGTGCGGTGGCAGCCGCGAAGGGGCCCGGGAAAGCGGGAGCGTCGGGGCCCAGGCAGGGCTTGCCATCCCGCACCAGCACCGGCACTACTACCCGGCGCGGCGCTAGGGGTTGCCCGGCCAGTTCCAGGGTCTTGTCCTGGCGCTGCCTTTTGCACTTGTAGCGCCGGTTCTGGAACCAGATCTTGACCTGCGTGGACGTCAGCTGCAGCGCGCGGGCTAGATGCTCCCGCTCCGGCGCCGACAGGTACCGCTGCTGCTTGAAGCGCCGCTCCAGGGCCAGTACTTGGGCCTGCGAGAACAGCACGCGGGGCTTCCTCCGCGGCCGGGTCTTGGCCTGCTGTGGGACGCCTCGGTGCACACTGTGGCTGCAGTTGCCCAAGCTGCGCTCCAGAGTACGGTTCCCCGCACCGATGGGCAGTGCTGCGCCCAGGCGGGTCTCTAAAGGCACAAGGAGGGAACATCATCAGCACCCAGCCTCAGGCTCGGATTGTTTTCTCAAGAAACCCCTCTCCTTGATGGCTTTCACTCCTCGCCCTTTCTCCTCCCCGATTTCCCTTGCCCCATGCCCAGGCCAGTCTGAATACTCTTTTTCTCCTCCAAGCTCTGTCGCTTTTGCACCCGCCAGGACATATGCAAATTCTAGTACTCTTAGGTGCATGGTGTACACGTCGTTTCCCCAAAAGTAGACTGCTTCGGGTGAGATTATTTTCTTCCTTAATTGTGCATGGAGGACCAGTTAGAGGCAACACGCTGTGTAGTGTACGGACCTATCAGACTGGGTCTCCAAGTACCCGCAGGCACCAGCGACGCTCTGCACTCCAAATTTTAAAAAAGAAAAGAAAAAAGAAAAAAATCTCGACTCTCGCTTGGAAATGGACACTCTCTTTGAGGGATGTGCAAAGCTGAGAGCCACTCTTTGACTTTTATAAAACTTAGTCAATTCTTCTTTGGGGCAAGCCTTGTGGTCGCCTTAAAGTTGACTCAGAACTGTGCGGGAAGCCCTTCCCTACTTCCTACCTCTCGGACTTCAGACCTGCTCTGTCCCCAGCGAGGGTAGAGAAAGTGCTTAGTTGTTTGGAAATTCAAGCCTGGAGAAATCCAGCTGATCAGAGGTGGGTGAATCCAGGGGCCGGGAGTGAGTGCCAACTGGCCGGGCAGCCTCAACAGAGCTTGTGCAGGTGGAAGCCCTGTCTCAATCTCCTGTATCCCTGGCACAGCCACTTAAAGGATTTGACTATTTGACAAAGTTAAGATAGAAACACCTAATTTTCCTGGAGGCATCTGCACCTAGGGAAACAGAGGACATTGAAAAGAGGAAAACCACAAAAGTTTGTTTACATATTAAATCAGTGAGCTATGGCGCACTCAAGATTCCATTTAAATGTAGCTGACTAGACAGAGGCAGGGGACTTGCCACAAATTCAGACCAGCCAGGTCTACATAGCCAGTTTCAGGACAGTTAGAGCCTGTCTCAAAACACCAAATCCCAAACAAAACAAAAGCATTTTATGGAGATATGCTCCCTCAGCTACCTAGGTTGTGCCTTTCCTAATCACAATCTGGGGTGCTCCAAGCTCTGCGTTCTAAAAAGCAAGATGGCTGAGATCCAGTCCCATGTCTGGGTATGGCCCACCAGACAGTCCCTTTCCCTTACAGATAGAAGTTGGGACTGGACTAGGACCTCAGGACCATCACAGTGGTAGAAGAGATGTTAGTAGGGGTTACCAGTCAGGGGACACACCGTGTATCCCTGTGACTTGTTGGGGTGGGGTGGGGAATGACAGTAATCCTTTCTGCAGTAAACTGAAACGAACTGCAAATTAGGTGACAGGCAATAAGGGAGTTTAATGTTTAGGCTCCACTGCAGAAAACCCATACATCTCTTCTTTAACAAAAAAATGTAATGCTCTCCAGACTTTGGGAGGACAATCAATAAATAGCCTGCAAGTTGCTGAATAACTTCAAAGGACCTTTTTTATTTGACTAGATTGTCCTTTGACTGGAGGTAAGGTAGCCCTACCCGGTGGAGGAGGATCCTGGTTCTGTGAGGCTATAACCACCCAGGCTACAGACCTACATAGGGGCTGGGCAGGAGGAAGGTGGTTTTGTCATTCCTTGGAATGGCTGAGCTTTCCTGACTAAGCCTCTGGGATTTCTGAAGCCACTGCCACAGAAACTCCCCACAGAAACTCCCCGCTGGATCCTGTACTTCCTTCTAGCTAATGACAGGTGTCTGGGCCTCTCTGCTTCCCACACCATTGTACCAGGTTCCAGGATTCTACTGGAGTCACCACCTAGGAGAGGGGCTCTTAAAAAACACCCTTGCCTCCTAGAAAGCACCCAGACATCCTCTATTCCTCCACTTGCATTTCCTTTGTGGAGAAACAGCGCCTGGCCAGGTCACTCAACAGGCTACAGGAAAAGGCTGGACTAGGAATGACCACAGAGCTGGAGGGAGGTCCCAATGTTTAGATTGGGATCTCTCTCTCTCTCTCTCTCTCTCTCTCTCTCTCTTCTCATTGTGGAAATTGTATGTAGATGGTGGTGATGGAGCACAGCTAAGGGTTTTGATTGAGAAAATGGAGCTGTGGCCTTTGTGGTTACCAGAGGGGTGGTTGTGGGGAAAGAGAATACTTAAGATCCTGGGCCTTACTTAATCCTTAGGGGTCCGGAAGCGCTGTGGGGGTCCGGAGGAGGTAGATGTTTTTATTGGGAGGCCTGCCTGTCTTTTGGGCTTCTAAAATAAGGGCAGACAAGGTGAGATTCGCCCCCCCAATTGCCTTTTCCCCAACAATGTCGATCCCCTCCTTCAATAATCCGGTGTAGAAACGCAGACCCGCGTGCATACTCACGTGGCTCCCCCACTCCTTCCGTGTCCATTTCCATGACTATCTCCCAGGGACCCCGAGGGTCTGATCCGTCATTTTCTGCTCTGTCTCCACAGCCTCCACTATCTGCAAGGAGATTCTCTAACCCTCGGGATTCCTGGTCCATTCTTAGGAACTGAGAATTTTCAGGGTTCTTATGCACCCTCCATTGTGACGAAGTCTTGGGCTCGCTCGGCTCACACTCCAGCTGCAGGATGTCTTGGACCGAGAAGGGAGTGGAGGTGACCCGGCTCAACAGCATCTCGGAGGCCGAGGGGGCGGAGCCCACAAGTCTCCAACCCTCGGTGTGCTCAGCGCCCTGAACTTCCCCTCCTGGGGCTGTAGACCAAGGAAGCAGACCCAAACTCGGGGACGCACACTCAATGTCCAGGATGGCGCCTCCCTTGGGCCACTTCTGCGGGCTGGGGGACCAGCACCGGATGACAAGATTGCGGTCCTCCATTGGTTTTCGTAGACACCACGTGCACCGTCCCACCAAGCGCTGGCTTCCAGCGCCCTTCTAATTTGTCCTCAATCTCTGGTTACCTTTGGGGGAGGTTTGGTTCCTACTGACAGTTCTCAAAGGTCAAGAAACCTTGAAGCGGTGTTGCTGCGCGGCCTGTGTCTTTGTCAATAGAGCACAAGAAGGGTCTTCTGGTGGAGTCTATGCTGGATCTGTGGGTACACTCCCGGCGGGGGTGTCGGGGGAGTCTTTTCACGGCAACGCGATCCGATCCATCTGTAGTTTTCACTTTTAAAGGCAGAGGAAAAATGAGAGAGAGAGAGAGAGAGAGAGAGAGAGAGAGAGAGAGAGAATATGAATCTCGAGGTCTTCGGGATGGGATCTCAGCCACTGCAGGCCTGGGGCTCCTCCCAGGACACCAGATTGGGATCGAGCAAGAGGAGGGAGCCTTGACCCCCCCCCCCCAGACAAATTGAGCCTCGCTTAGAGTTGTGTCTGTTCTACCGAGCTCGGATTTGTCCCAATAGGGAAGGAAAACGGAGGCGGAGATTCTGTATTTGGGGAGCCCTGGTCACCTTGGAGTGTTGGCGGAGGGAGAAACCGGCTTCCATCCCAGAGAAGATTACAAGAAAATTACCGAGCTAGGTCCATCTCGTCTGTCTCATGGTTTCTTTTCTCTCCGCCTTTTCTCTTCTGTAAAGCTGGTTGTCTTGAGCCAGTTGTGTATGAAGGTGGCCTGGGTGGGAGTTTTGCCTCACTCTTCGGTCTCCAGAAGGGTTGCGTGGACACCACCGGTGGGGAATGCCGGAGGGAGGCAGTGTGCACAGTGGTTAGGAGTGTGGACAGATAGAGCCCCGGCTGTGCAGCACAACTTGTGGGGGTTTGCACAATATGTGGAGATAAAGATGCCTTGTCTTAGGACAACTGGGAAGGAGTAAGAGGGAGATAGAGCCATCCACTAGTGCCCACTGCTGCTGTAAGTCATGCTAAGATCAAGAGAAGGGATGGAGCTTTGCAGTTCCAACAGAGTGGAAATGTTCTTTTAATCATTTAAAATAAAAATAGGATCTCAGAGACTTTGGGGACTTCAGATCAAATGTTTTTTTAAAAATATTTTATTTAGTACTTTTATTTCATGTGTATGAGTATATTGTCTGCATGTAGATAGGTGCACTGGTCCATGGTGCATAGATATGAGAAAAGGACGTCAGATCCCCTGGAACTGGAGTCACAGATGGGTCCTCTGTAAAAGCAGCCAGTGCACTTAATGGCTGAGCCGCTGAGCCATCTCTCCAGCTCTGGGATCAAATGTTTCTTAAACCTTATTTGAATTCAAAATTACAAGAGCAGTTTAGATCCCTCCCCCAAATCCAGGTAAACTGAATTCACCCCCCCCATTCTATAGAGCACAAAATTTTAAATTTTTAAACATTTATTTATTGTGTATGTGTGGGAGGAGTTCCTTGGTTCCTCCATTGTAGGCATCAGAGGATAACTTCCCAGGCTCAGTTCTTTCTACCACATGGCTCCCGGGGGGATCGAATTTAAGTCTTTAAGCTGGTTTATAAGCATCTTTACCTGATGCGCTGTCTCTCTGACCCCAAGAGCACAAAATTGTACTTGCGTACACTAAAAACCTTCATGTAAAATTGCAGCAAATTTAATTTTTCTGTTGACAAATAATTGTATAACGATTATATATATATATAAAATCACATAATCTTTACGCTATGCTGAGGATGCTTCCAAACTTTTTTTCCCAGTCAGTAGAGATGGGAGAAAGGGGTTGAGGTGGCTGCGGAGGAGGGCCCATTCTTACTGGCAGCATGCACCCAAATAGCGTCCTGTCCCCACAAAACAGTAACAATAGACCTCTAAACTTTTCTCCTTCCTTCCTTCCTTCCTTCCTTCCTTCCTTCCTTCCTTCCTTCCTTCCTTCCTTCTTTCCTTCCTTCCTTTTTCCTTCTTTCTTTTCTTAGTAGACATTTTCCTTCCTCCCTCCTTTCCTTCCTCCCTCCCTCCCCCCTTCTTTTGCTTCCTCCCTGCCTCTCTTGCTGGGAATGGAACCTAGGGACTTTGCACACACCAGGCAAAACACTCTACCCTTGAGCAATACCCCAGCCCTGTCTTAATTTCTAGCAGCAGCAGCAGCATGCAGACCCTGTGAATGGCTGAACTCCAGGTCCTGTAATGCAGCAGCAGCAGCAGCAGCAGCAGCAGC